GTGATCTAATGTATATATAGTTTATAATATTTTATAATTTATTATATTTCTTACTGTAAAATAAAATTTGTTTTGAATTAGTCATTTAGAATTCATTTATTTATATAAATAGAAATTATGTTAATTACAGTAATTTATTGTTTCAATATTATACATAATTTATTATATACTTTTATTAAATACATTTTGTATTAAATAAATTTTTTTATATTTCTATTTTATATTACTTAATTTTTTTCATATTTCATATTACTTATTTATTTTCATTCTGTCAGCTAACATTGTTACATAATTTCTGTACCATGCCACTGTACCATTCTGTGCCTTTCAATGGCTCCTTATTTAAATTCCTAACACTTTCAGGTGAAGTTCAACCAAATCGAGCCCTTTCCTCTCCAGGCTGTTCATATATTCTACACATTGCCTTGCCTCCTTCACCTGTCATAATCTGTGAAGATCTCACCCTTCCTCTTTTGTCCTTCTAGAAGATTACCGTAAGGCAAGTTTCATTCGGCTCCACAAACTTTCCTACTATAAAAAAGTGCAATTTAATTTGAGAGAATCTCAATGGCATCAAAGTTCCATCAGCTTTCAGCGCCAGCGGCTGCAAGGAAGGGAAAAAACACATCTGTGGAGAAGGGAATAAATGAAGGGTGAAAAATCAAAGTCTCAGACTCTCATCTCGCTGCTGGTGTCGAAATAACTCAGATTTCGGATAAGGCTTGCCTAATTTCATATGCTGGCTGATATTTCTTTTTTATCAGTGTGTTAACAGAGATTCCCATGTTTGCATGTGCTGTATAATGAAGCAGGAGCGATGGGCGGCGCTCTGCTGGGTTTAATCATTAGTCATGTTTAGACATGCAAACACATTCATCCCAAACACTCATTTACACGCTCACTAACTCATTCGCTCTTTCTCTCTCTTTCTCCATCCCTTGTCCAACACTTCACAACTGCCAGAAGGTATGCTTAAGCTGAAAATGGGAAATGTTTGTGCGATCAGATTGACGGGGCTAGAGGGGGTTCCTCAGGGGTGTATCTTCAGTCCCTTAATCTTGATGGCGTTGACGTCAGCAGCACACTGCCTGCTGGTAAATGAGCTTTAGAGACGACCGTGTTGTAGAAACAGTATAATTAATGTTATTCTGTTCTTGCAGGAGGGAGGTTTAAAAAGGAGATTGTGGTGGATGGACAGAGTTATCTCTTGCTGATCAGGGATGAAGGCGGCCCGCCAGAACTGCAGGTAAGCCACAAGTTCAATATGAAATCAGCAGAGTTATTATAGTTAACCAAAACTAAAATTAAAACCATAAAAAATGTTACTTGAAATAAAATAAACATCAACTGAAATAAATATAAATATACTAATATATATTACATACTGTATATAAAGCTTTTTATTTCAGCTAGATGCCAAGACATGTGTGTGCCAACAAGTATGAAGTTTTTTCTTCCGTGGAACACAAAAGGAGATATTATGCAGAATGTTCATGCTGCTCTTTTCCATAGAAAATTGATTGTACAACAAAGTGACCAGTGGCTATTGAGGTCCAAAAAAGGGTGAAAAAGCACCGTACATGTGTTCATCATGACTTGTATTATAGAGAAGGAATGATTTCACAATTAAAATATGATATACTGATAATAATGCATAATGTGCAGTATAAAAATGGATGTTCATTATGAGATTTGCTAAAGATTACATTTAACAGTATACTTAAATTTGTTGTGTTTTTATAGATTAAAGTAAGTATTAGATGACAGCAAAGGTAAACATTGTAAAAGTAGGGGAAGTTGGTCATTGTATGCTTTCACTGTATGGAAAAGAGCAGCATGAACATTCTTGAAAATATCTCCATTTGTGCTTCAACAAATCAAGTCGTTTTGGGTGAATTTTCTGGTCATGTAAGGACGTCTAACTGAAGAGTTTGTGGATAAAAAACTGTTTAGATATTTCCATGTAAAGTACTAGTAATACCCCAAACACCTTAATTATCTTGTTCAATTTGCAGCTCCAGGGCTGCATGCTGACGCGGCGCTACAATAATTGATGATATCCGAGAAAGTGAGATTTTTCACAAGTTGAGAAAAGCAGAGAACTGTCCAAATAGCTGCTAAAATATTCCACAAATGTGTCTCCCAGTCCTCATTCCCCCAGCAAAGAGCGGGACACGGGGCCATGTCGAGATGAACCGCTGTACTTGCCCCGTGGGGCCCATTTCAGGGTGGCCCTATTTTCACATTTTGCTGCGGCTCAGTGTAATTATAGTCTGATGGTTCTCACGGCAGCTTTCAGCCGTGGATGAGGACTGGCTTCCTGTGTTGTGGGAACGGGGATTTCGAGTGAAACTTTTCTGCCAGTGTAGCTCCTGGTGGAATAGCGGCGATAATTATTCTCTGTTAGTCTGTGTTCCGTTTAGCTGGTTTTATGGTAATGCGTAATTGATTAGAATGCAAATTACCACAAGAATTTGTAATGTGGCCCTTCAAATTTCAAGCAGACATCAATGAGTGTGTCTCAGGCCTCTGAAACAATTCAAGTTACTGGTCGTGTAATTTATCCATGATTAGAATTATTCTCCTGCAGGAAATGGAAAACAAATAGAGGAATAACTCACACGTAGGGCTTCAGTAAAATCACTTAAAATGACTGAAATGTACCTGCCTACACTACAAAACATAACTAGCATATAACATGGTTCATCGGCTCAGTAGCTGTTCAGATGGATAGATAGATAGATAGATAGATAGAGAGGCTTATTATATTTAACAGAAACTAAATTAAAACAAAAAAAAATTTTTTGATATAAAATAAACATGAAATGAAATAAAATAAAATATATTTGTAAAAAATATTTTACTAGTTACCAGGGCATAATTTATTTTAATTTAGTTTATCTTGATGTACTAAACTAACAAAAATAAATAAAATAAAATAAATAAAATATAAATATAAAAACAAAAACAAAACCGTCAAAAAATTAAGAAAAAAAACCCCCAAAACAAAATTGCTCAAATTTGAACTAAAATGAGCATGGAAAATATAAAACTAAAATAAATAAATAAACTTCTAATAATAAATAATCTTCTAAAAATGAAAAAAAAAAAAAATGCTAAAATTTGAACTAAAATGAAAATGGAAAATATAAAAATAAAAACCTATTAAAAATATTAACAAAACTGCAGTAGTGTCTTTCAGTGATACAAAAATAATACAGAAATACTAAAGTTGATACTAAAATAATGCTGTGTATGTGCATATATGTATATATGTGCATAAGTGTGTGTGTATATATATATATATATATGTGTTTGTTTTACGAAAGAAGTTTCTTTTATTTATTGGAAATATATTTATATTTTTATAATATACATTTTGCAATGTAAGCCTGTTGAATAAAAGTATTAATTTCTTTCAGAATAAAAAGCCTACTAACCCCAGATTTTTTATAAATACTAATAAATAAATACACAAAATTGCTAAAACTGTAACCAAAATTACGATGAGAAAACTAAATGATAAAAACTGATTCAAAATATTAATATAATATAATATATCCTTTAAAAAAGCAAAATCTGATAGCTAAATCAAAAGGTGTTATTTTAAAGATGCTGAGATTGCTACGGTTTTGTTGTCGTGTTTCAGTTTGCTGCCTGGGTGGACGCGGTGGTGTTCGTCTTCAGCTTGGAGGATGAGATCAGCTTCCAGACAGTTTATAACTACTTCCTGCGCCTTTCCAGCTACAGGAACACGGCAGAGGTTCCCATGGTGCTGGTGGGGACGCAGGGTGAGTCATAACACCATCACTGACTCTATTATTCTTCTACAGTAGAACACAGGATGCCTTAAATTTGATGTGCACTTGTTTTTATTAAATCCTCCATGAAAGTCTCGCACTTAGTCATAGTCTAAAGGTGATGAAACCATTCGTACATTCGTCTTGCTTTAACAAAGCAGCAGGATATGAAGTCTCATCTGCAGTGAGCTGACAGACTCTTTCTTACACATTTGCCCAGTACTTGTTTGCAAATTGCACTTTGATGAGACAACATAATTAACAATTATGAGCATGTAGATGCTGTACTGTCATTATGTGTGTCGAAGAGTGAGTTTAAAGGAATAGTACACCCAAAAATGAATATGCTTTGTCGTATCCCATCATATGATTTCTAGATGCCATCAGCGCTGCCAACCCAAGAGTGATAGATGACGCCCGGGCTCGAAAACTGTCCAACGACCTGAAACGCTCCACATATTACGAAACCTGCTCCACCTATGGTCTTAACGTCGAGAGAGTCTTTCAAGATGGTGAGATACCAGATGTGTTAACCAGTGTCTCTGAACACTTTAAGTGTTTATCCTCAGGTGTGAGTTTACTAACCCAGGGCTCTACAGTGCGACCATTTCAGTCGCATTTATGAATGAACTGCGTTTTTAAACGAATCTTGTGAGTCAATGATTCATGATTACCCATTCATAACGACTGTCACTTGATTCATTCCTGAATGAATCAGCCGTTCGAATGAATCAATTGAATAAATGATTCGGTGATAAAATCAGTGACTTGTCGCCACCTGCTGGCAGTTTGTTTCCCTCATTTTTGATCATATTTTGGATTATTGATTAGAAGGTGCTCCTAAATTTTTGACTGTGCTCCTAAATTTTTTAAGTTAAGAGCACAAGTGCTCCTAAAAAGAAAAATAAGCGTAGAGCCCTGTAACCTGGTTTGCAGTTAACATTCTCTGTTCTTCATGACCTTTAGGGTTGACCTCTGTAAATGAAGTACATAGCTTGTCTTTTATATATAAATGTGGATCAGTATAAGACCGAAGTACGTTGTTGATCCTGATAATTTTTGGTAATATTTTATGTGAATCCTGTGTAAGCATTTATAATTCTAAAGTTATTTTTGTGAAAAGCTTGTAAGAATGTTTTTAGAACAACAAATCTAACCCATCCAAGCCAGTGGAATTTTATCCATTTATTCAGAAGTGCAGCCATTTATTCAGAAATGCTTTTTTTTTAAAATATTTTTTAAATAATAAAATTTTTTTTTTCCATTTATTAATATGACTTTTTTATGAATGACTTTCCATTTTATTATTATTATTATTGGTGTTGTTTTTGTTGTTAATATATTTACAATAATAATAATAAACAAATAGATTTTCATTTACACTGTAAACATAATGAAAACAACAATAATAATAAGGAAATTATTATTATTATTATTATTATCATTATTATTAGTTAGACACAGGCTAAAACTTTTTAATAAGCAAAAATCAATTTTCATTTACACTGTATAAACATAATGAAAATAATAATAATGATGATGATGATTATTATTAATTATTATTTTTATTGCTGTTGTTATTTTTATTATTGTAGTAACAACAAAAACAGTAATAATAATAATTATTATTGTTGTTATTGTTATTATTATTTAGACACAAAAACATTTTAATAAACAAAAATGAATTTCCAGTAACAATAATTATTATTGTTGTTGTTAATATAATAATAATAATAAACAAATTGATTTTCATTTATGCTGTAAACATAATGAAAACAACAATAATAATAACAAGGAAATAATAATTGTTATTGTTATTATTATTATTATTATATTAACAACAATAATAATAATTATTGTTGTTGTTATTATTATTTAGACACAGACTAAAACTTTTTAAGAAGCAAAAATTAATTTCCAATAGCAATAATTCTTATGATCAATGTTGTTGTTGTTAATATAAATAATAATAATAAATTATTATTATTATTATTATTAGTTAGACACAGATTAAAACTTTTTAATAAGCAAAAATCTATTTTCATTTACACTGTATAAACATAATGAAACAATAATGATGATGATGATGATTATTATTATTATTATTGCTGTAGGCAATAATACAAAAACATTAGGGCTGTGTATCACCAGCAAAGTTACGATACGATATGTATCACGATACATAGGCCACGATACGATACATATCACAATACAGGACTGCACTGAATTTCACCTCAGCAGAATTTAGTAAAACAACTGTTTATTAAACTCTGCTTACTATAGGGCCTTTTATAACTATTGGCAGAACAGGCAGTTGACCTTGTTTACATTGTGCACTCCCCACCAGGTACAATATTCTGATTCTTTGCATCTGGTTTTTAAGCCCATAAATAATAATGTACTCGTTCTAATAAATTTATATTGTAATGTACTCATATTAATATATTAAAAAATCATCTTTACATTGCTGGTAGGTTATCATTGCAAAAATTAACACACTCTACGTTTAAAAAATAAAAATAAAAATGAGAAGAGTTCTGTATCTAACGCACACACACGCTCAGTCACTCACACAGATCACGTTGCGTGCGCACACTCAGACATTCAGCAACACAAACTTATCAGCGCTGCCCCGCAATTTTATCAAAAAAATAGCTTAATCGCTCAAGAGCTACATTATCTTTCTCAACAAGGAGCTGGTAACATTATTGTTTCTAAAGGAATTAAAGCCACAGCTTCACTGTTAATAGAGAAACGCGGCAAAACGGTGGTAATTCATACATACACAGCCTCTCTCTCTCTCTCT